CGGGCCCTATAGTGAAAAAAAAAAAAAAAAACAAAAAACCCCCTCCAAAAAAAAAAAAAAAAAAAAAGCTATCCTGGAACTGGGTTCCTTCCTTTAGTTTCTGTAATTAGATTCTCGTTATTTAATTAGTTGATTAATGCATGTCTGTCTGCCCCTCCAAGACCAGAAGCTCTATGAAAACAGACACCAAGTCTATGAGTGAATACTCATTGCCTATTTTTTTACTGAAAAGATATGAAGATGAATTCAAAACCAGAAAAACGGTAAGAATTTTTAGTCTTCTTCTGCCATTATTAATAGTTTGTGGGTTACAGAGGAGTCAAAGAAATTGAGGACCTGTTAATCTAGTGATTATTGATAAGATATCTGTTAAGAATGATAGGCTGATGAACACACATGCCCTACAGCAAACTTAGTAATAATTGAGAGAGAGAGAGAGAGAGAGAGAGAGAGAGAGAGGGGGGGGGGGGAGGGAGGGAGGGAGGGAGGGAAGGGAGGAGAGGGGAGGGAGAAGGGAGGAACAGGACTTGGCTGGGTGGGGCCAGAAAGAGTAGAGAAGATTTGAAACCCATGCTGAAATTACATGACTAGGCACCCAGAGAACACAATAAAGGGTCCACTGCTCTTCTTCTACCTTTCCCTCTGTCATGGAAAAAAAATAATAAGTTTTTAAAAATAAATTATTAAAAGAATGTTTTTAAAAGAGAGCTGTTTTCTACATGGCACATGCACTCGCTAGAAAGGCAGAAAGCAAGAAATCACTCCCCCTTCAGAATTGTCCATGCCACAATCCCTTCTCCTCCATTTTCCTCTCGGGATCTTGGGCATGCACGCACACGTGCCCGCTGTGAGTTTCAAGCTGCTGAATCCGGGACTAGAACTGCAGCTGACTACGTGGGAGTCCAACGATATAAGCATTACACCATCTGCTGGCCCCCAAAATAAAATTGTTAAAAAGACTTTTTCAATGATTAGAGATAAAATGTTCTGGCATTGAGTTTTGTTTTATACATTCCTAAAAAACGCTCTCTGGTTCCTTTCATGTTCTATGCATTCCTGTCCCATGAAGACAATAAAAATGTGTGTTCTATTCATTCTTGCTGATTTTGTGTTCGGTGAAAAGCTGATGAGAACTCACACCTGAATGGTCTCACCTTGGATGCTGGACTATAAGAGACTCTTTCAGATAGTTTAATTGGGTAGCTCTTTGTCTACGCTTTTTCATTTCAATCGATGGCCAATGAGAAGACACTTTAAGAGCCCCAAGAAAATGTACCCATTTGAATGTTTACAGGGAAGACAAAAACTATTTTTTTTCCTCCCCAGGGGAGATTAGAAGCCTGAATGTTGTTATTCTCATACTAAATCACCTGGCAACATTTAGAACTATATTTGCAGTACAGGGTTAACATAAGAGGAAGAAACAAAAGAATCCTTCAACGTCTTTGATTTCATTATCAAACCAACTCCCTCCCCCATACCCCAAAACATGGGCTCTTGGATTTTTTTTCCTGAGAAAATGGGTAAAGCACATTTTTTCTTTTCTTTTGCCTTTTCTAATTTGCCTTTGTGCTCTTGACCCAAGAAACTGTATCTGATTACATATCAGAGAGAATAATAAACCTAAATTGATGACTGACATTTTAACAGACTGAACAATAATATTTCACCACTGAAATCCTGGACAGTTTTCTAAGAGCTCTTTTTATAAGTGGGCTTCATAAATAGCCAGTACATTGAGGATTTAATTATGGAATCAGAATGCTTGATTCACGACCCTCTTTTCATAGCCGAATAGCTCTCCATTCTCAGACTCGGTGTCTTAGAGAGCGCAATCACAGCACTTACCTCGTTTATCCCCCAGTCTGCCTCCAACATTTCCGCTGCAGCTGGGTCCTGAGTAGACTCCTGTACATCAGAAGTGGCCTGCTTCTCTCTGCCTGGCCGAGGAAACTTTTCTTTTTCTGTTAAGCATTTTGATTTGAGAATGCTGTTGAGACAATGTTCTGTCTCCCGCTTAGCAGATTCAAGTCTGTTTTCCAAATCTTTTTGTTTACACTTAAGCGATTTTATATCATCCTTAATAATCGTCTGTCCCGTTGAAGATGTATTTTGCTTGATGGATTTTGCTAAAGCTGAAACCTTCTTTAATGTGCCATCTTGTAAACTGAGTCTATGCTCTAGTTCCTATGAGTGGAGAAAAGATGGTTACAAAAAATATCTCCATTCAACTGCCACAAGAGTTCCTTGACTTTTGTAGATCACAGAATATTATGCTTCACTAGTGGAAAAGATAAAGAAGCTATCAACTCATATCACATAGAGGAAACTCTGGGCAAAATTTAAACCAATATAGCACCCCATATCAAATTTTCAAACATCTTTTATAAGATAGTAGAAGTATGCAACATGTAATAGAAAGTTATCACAATACAATTCCTTTTTTTTCTTGAGGGTTTTGTTTGTTTGTTTGTTTGTTTTTGTTTTTGCTATAGGGCGCATGTGCTTGCCAGAAAGAGAGAGGGAGACAGAGAGAGAGAAAGCGAGAAATCACCCCCCAGGGGGATGGCCACACCACAAGCCCTTCTCCTCCATTCTCCTCTCAGGATCTTGGGCACGCACGCACGCACGCCCAGCATGAGTTTAAGCCACCCGGTCCAGGACTAGAACCATGGCCAACTACATGGTAGTCCAGTGACGTAGCCATTATGCCATCTGCTGGTTCCCACAGTACAATTCTTAGAAGATAAATATTTGTTGACTATACTTTTATGCAATAAAGTACTAAATAACAAGAGCCTACTATATCAAAAGTATTAAAAAGAATGAAGAATTAGAATGTGACCACATGAACTTAAAGCTAGTATTTAAACTGAGCGCAAAGAATCTGAAGAATGTGTTTTGAGGCTGTAAGTGAAGGGTTACAATTCTCACTGTAGAAGGCTGGGTTTTATAAGAGTCAAGATGGCTATCTTAGAAGCCCTACATTGGGAGAAGAAATCTAATTTAGGCCATGAATATGAAAATTAGTAAGGAAAAAATTAGACAGCTATCCACTCAGGATGCAGAACACTAAACTGAAACATTTCCCCCTAGGTCTTGCTGTGTGAGATGCACCCTTTGACCACGCGGTGCCCATGGGATCTCTCTGCTATCTACGAAACAGACATCCAGGAGCTCCAGGCTGATCATGACTGGAATTGCCTGAGGACCTAGTGAGGGCTATAAATAGCTTTGCCATTATAAATGGCTTTGCCACCAAAGAACATCCCCATTTTTTCATGATTGGTCAGGGATTTAATTATCTAAGAAATATGAACAACCCTTGAATTTCTGATAGAAGACACTTATTAGCCAAGTTGTAATATGAACTTCTTAAAATGTCTATCATAGCTGGACAACGTTTAATACCTGTAGTTTCTGCAATTTTTCCTCAACTGCTATTTGATGCACAGGATCATCAAAAAAGCTGACAAATTCCTTGGCGAAATTGTCCAATGTGGTATTCAGGTCTGTGACGCAAACCTGATATGAGTGGTGTTCTTGAACGTGACCTTCCAATTTTTGCACAGAATCCTAAAAATAAAACCATCAATAGAGTACAGGTTACTTACTTCTCTCTGAATTTTTTCACTTAGAAAATAATCCGATGATTCATTTACATTTTGAAACAGGAATATGGCTCTAAGCCATCCAGAATTCTAAAGTAAAGATTTAAAGTTTTGAAATATATCAGTGCAAAATCTCTACCTTCCCCCCCAAAATAACTCTTATTAACAATGTATTTGTTTGCCCCATGCTTCTTTGCCTTTGTTTCCTTCCTAAGGATAATTCGTGAAGAGGTTTATAAAAACAAAATGGCTATAAGTTATATAATTAAATCCAGACATCCATAATCAAGCAGCTCCCTTAATTATCTTTGACAACAAACCAAGTACCCAGTATCCACGCTTGGAAATGAGACTACTTGAGATCAACCTAACCCCGGATTCCCTTTCTAAGAAGCAAGCTCCAAACTTCAGTGTTAGGAAAAAGTAATCCTAACTCAAGAGCAAAATCATATGCAGATTCACCTCCTAGGATAAGAAAACAAGAGGATCGTACCTGATCCAGTAAGCAACAACTGCTGAACTAAACACCTGATAGCCAAACAGGCACAGCAGAACCCCTGTCCGACTCCTGCAAGCTGCAGCAGCAAGAGTTCTTATCCAGATAAGTCTGAGGTTGACTCCGACATTCAGGGTACAAAGAATTATGAACAGTTTTATTAACATACTCCCTCATGATAAGCTAACTTTTTACCTCTTAACTCTTATACTGCAGATTGTTTGGAAAGATATATTTTTTTAAAAAAGGGGGGGGGCATTGACATGAGGAAGAGACAGGATAATTGGAATAAGCTATTATAATAAATAGATGGATAAATGGGTAGATAACTTTAAGACTGTTACCTTCATAGAGATGCCTTTAAAAAAAAAAGCTTCATCAATCCTACCCCTGAACAGGGGAATTTTGATGAGAGAAAAGTAGTACCAACATCATGGAATACACAATGGATTCCTCTAGCAAAACTAACTGGAGTCATTACTCTATCTTTGAGTTAGCAATTTCAATGGAAAATGATAAATTTTGAAAGCTTTTGGTTTACCAAAATAACAACAGATTGATCCATACACAAACTGTGCATAATTATAGCAAATAGTTTTATTTTGACCACTTCACCTGTAGCTGTTGAAGAAGACTTTCGTGTAGATGCTTTATTTCCAACCAAGGCTCTTCACTGAAGTTGGGATTTTTAGTGCACTCCAGCAGGTAATTTCCTTGAGATTTTAACTCCTTTAGCAAAGATGTCAAATCTTGTGCTTTCTGGAGGAATTTCTTATAAATTTTTAACTGAGCCTTCTTCTCCTGCAGTCCGTGCTGCAGAGCAAAGCCTGCTTCTTGTTTCTTCTTTAATTCTGTGAGCACTAATCTTAGATCCTCCTTACTTTGCAAATACTTCTCACCTTCGAGTAGAAGCATTTCTTGATGGCTAAATTTCCCAAAATAGTTTATAAATGAAATGACATTAAACAAAATGGAGGGGTCTTTCACATATCATAATGCAACATACACTATGGTTAACACTAAAATACAGTAATATACATTATTCCCACAGATTCTTAGCATCGTAACATTCTGAACAGCAGTAGATTTAGCTAAGAAATCAGACAGAAATTGAATGTTACTGAAAAATAGTTGATTTTTGTTACCTAATTTATCTAGAGAATATTTAACAATTTAGATCTCAAGTTCTAACCATTTTTGTTATATTTAAACATATTATCCTATATTTTACTTTTCCACAAAGGTAAAATAAGCATTCATATATAAACCAAGTAACTAAGTTGTTTTCTATAGTTTAAATTTAGTTTTGATCTGATAGTTTCTCTAGAAAAACATGCCCCCTGGATTTAGCCAATACTTACTGAAATATTACACACTTAGGGCCAGCCCTGTAGCGTGGTAGTTAAATGCTGAATAGAGGGAGCTAGATCCCACATGGTTGGCCAACCACGCTTGAATGTCATGCTGGGTATGTGTGCCTAAGATCTTAACAGAAAGGAGGCTAGAAGAAAGGAGACCTACAGCATGACAAGACCCCAATGAAGGGCATTTTTTTCCTCTCTCTCTCACTCTCTCTCTCTGGTATGCATACATGCGCTCTGGCATTAAAAAAAAAGTATATAAAATATTTATACATTTTAAAAATCTTCTAAAACAAATATTTAAAAGCAGGATTTATTCTATAGTGATACACACAGATACCATGGTTGTCTAGGGGAAGTGGGCTAGTACAGAAACAAAGTCCTGGAAGTGGAATGGTAGATGTTAATTTGCTCCCAAGAACCCCACAGTAAATGCACCAGCTACACTAAACACTGCCAGAGTTATGACAGAGCTGTTCCGGCTGATCTGTAGAACCACTCCTTTGGGGAAGCCCTAACATGACTGCCGTTCTCTCTCCTAGATATTACATCCAAGCCCAGAAGGCAGACAAAACACACTTGTGATGGCTTCCTGGGCAATGGAAATGATGGCTGTGGTGAAGCCAAGTCCTTTACCTGAGATACGTGTGCGCTAACTGGAGTGTGTTGTCCCACTGGCTGCTGATGTCAGCAACGGCTTCATGCGCCAACGGGGCCTCGCTGCTCTCAGCCTGCTTCATGATGGTCTGTATTTTGGCGTCCCCTTCAGGCTTTAGTAAAATGATTTCCTGAATTAAATTTAAAAAAGGCCTTATAGCTCCATTTGTATTACACAGGGATATTACATATGGTTCTCTTTTTATTTGCAAGCTTTACTGAGATTGTAACTGCAGAGTAGATTTCAAAATAACCCTTTCATTTTCATTTATGCCCCAAAGACAAAGCTATCCTTCACATTACAGAGCTGGTACTCAGTAAACATTCCTGAGGTTCAATTGTCTGCATTGCTCTCCTCTTGATTTTCAATCACTTCTTTACAATATGAAAAGGAAATAATAGTAATTTTAAAAACCCTGACAAGTCCTCCTTCCCATTCACTTTATTAGGTGGACAATTAGGATAACAATCTGAAGTAAACGTTTTTATACAACCAAGAACAACCCTACCGTTTCCCACAGGAAAATGCACTCCCTTCATGCCAATGCTTGCCCTTCTACCATGACGTAATTCTCATTTCCTGTTCTCTTTTCCCTCCTTCGCTCTGACAATGGCGTTCTTCCTTTCTTGGAAATACTACTCAAGATTCACCATGTCTGGGAAAGCTTTTGGGTTTAATCCCAAATGACTCTGATTATTACTGTTTTACCAATCCTTACGGACCCTTATTCTTGACCATTTCTTCCTCTAACTATGCTTCAATTAGTGTGATTTCAATGCTCCTGGAACTCCTTCAAGCACATGAGCTTCTGTCCTCTGTATTTTTAACTAGCAATGTTTAGTGAATCTCCCCTTCGAAAGTGGGCTCAAGGAGCTTGAGACCTCCTTGCCTCCCATACCCACTTGGTATTTAATCATTTTTTATGAACCATGTATGTCCACAATGAAGGATTCCTTTTCATTCCTAACAGGGTAAAATGACGCCCTTGCTACACTGCCATATTCTCTTTATGTGCTAGCAAACTCTACCTCTCATCTACGGTCTTTATTTCAATTCTTCTGCACTCAGGAAAGATGAACAGTACCCAGGCATTGTCCTTTCAAAAAGAAGGTATAAATTCTCTCTTTCATATACAATTAAATTATTTTAAACCTATCACAACCCTTCTCTTTTGTAAGCTCACTGATCTAAATTTCTTCAACCGTTCCACAGTAATCCTATTTTCCATCAAGAAACAAATTTTCCTTTTTCCTCTAAATCTTAAAATTAAAGTTCACTCTGACCTCTGAAAAATCAGTTTTCACAGTTATACCTTTATTTTTTGGATTCTTTCCTCAAGTGGCATTTTGCCTTCAGATGAATTCAAAACCATGAGGGACTCTTTAATCTCTTTTATCCAATGAATGACATCCTGGGCAAGATCATTAAAGTTCTGGTCCTCGGCGGTTGGTAACTTGTCTTCTTCCTCAATTTCATGTAATTGTCTCAATAGCGTTTGGTATCTAGTAATCAAATGTGCCGATTCCATTATTACTTCTTCTTTTTCAGTAAACCCGTGTTCCTTCAAAGAGTTGTTCAACTGGACCACAGATTCAAATTGTTCCCTGCAAATTTCAAGTATCATTGAAAGTTTACAGGAGTCACTACATCATGGAAGAAATCATATTCCCAGGTAATGTGTTTCAAACAAGATCAGCTCTACCTCTTTCTCGCTAACGCTTGGCAGAACAGCTCAGCTTTCTCTCCTGACTCTTCCACTCCTTTCCATTTCTCTTCTTGATTCGCCAACCACTTACTCAGGTTTCTTTGCTCATCTTGGAGTCTAAAAGAACATTCCACGTGTCAGAACATAAAATAAGCAAAAGACATTTATACTGAAGAGAAAGACGGCATGAACCTTGTGAATCAACCAGCTTCTGATGACAATTTTCTTATATTTATAGAGAAAACTTAACTTGTAACACATGAAGACCTGAATAACAACAGCCTTTATTAGGACTAGGATTCTAGAGTATTACAACAATATGCCACAGAAAAAGAAACAAACAAAAACACTTTTGGACTAGTCCCTGAACTTTTGCTATATTAAGTAATTTGAAGAATTCTTTCTACTTTTATATTCCTACCACCAAACCTGGATTTCAAAGTATGTCTTTCATTTGTGAAATTGTATGTACTATATATATCTCAGTGCTCTGTTTACTGAAGCAAAGTACCAATAAAGGTATTGTTAGGAACTGTATTTAGAGGGACCACCAGATGGCATAATGGTTATGTTGCTGGACTCCCACACAGTTGACTATGGTTCAAGTCCTGGACCCAGCAGCTTAAAACTCACACTGGACATGTGCATGCATACCCAAGATCCCAAGAGGAGAATGGAGGAGAAGGGATTGAAACATGGCCATCCCCCATGGGGGGTGATTTCTAATTACTGTCTCTCTGTCTCTGTCTCTTTAGCAAGCATATGTGCCCTAGAGCAAAAATTTCTCCAAAAAAATGGGGGGAACTTTATTTGGATATTGCCTTTATATCTTACCTCAGCAGTTGCTGCAGGTGGTCATCAAGCTCCTTTGCTCGTACCTGGCATACAGACTCCATGTTTTCCAATTCAAATTCTTGACTCACGAGCCAACTATTAAGCTCTTTAACACGGGCTTTAGGCAGATGTTTCTTCACATGACTCAGTACTGTGTCCACCTGCTGTATTTTACTGCTTCTTCCTTCAAGGGTCAAGAAATCCTTAAGAAAGACAAAAAGTCAATTATCTACTGCAAGTCTGTATATGGTCTCTATCACCAACTTTAGGATGCTTTCCACACACACCAGTTTCTTGACTTCCTAGATCAGAAGGCTATGACATGTGTCTAACTCCAATGACAAGATGATGTATAGCAGTTCTAGCGTATGTGAATATGCATTTGCTTCTGACTTCCTGGGGATTATGTCAAGCAAAATAATGCAATGCACTATAAAGACCGGTAGAAGCAAGAGCAGAAAAGTTACGTTTTTCTATCTTGGCTCTACTCACCTCCTCTTAAATACCTTGCTATTTTTTGGAAATCAACAGGTAAGACTAAATTGACTATTCTCTAAATTTGCACAAATCAAAATTTCATTTCAATGTTTTTCACTTCAGTCTTTCAAGGTCTGGACATTAATTGCTGAAGCCCATGTAGTGGACAAAATTAAAGAAAAAAAAAGAAAAGAAGAGAGAGACTTTGAACTAAAACGGAGAAGAAAGTTGATTTATCAATAAAAAGTAGTACCATGAAAGAAGGAATAAAACAGAACATTTAGTGACATGGACAGCTTGAGAATATGACTCATCACCAAAACATCGAAGCACTCAATAATCTACCCTGAAGTGATCGAGGTTTACAGTGCCGTAGGCATCTTTAAATGCCCCCATGCGCTCTTTTATTTCAGGCTACCTTCTGACCAACAGTGTTAAAGTTCAGGTGCAAGTTTTAAAAGAAATGTGACTAGAAAAATATATAAAATGTCAAGAGACCTCTTGTAGGAAAGTAAGAGGATTTTAAAATCCAAATTAGGTAAAGTCCTTCTCTTCATCAAATATGATTTTAACACAGCTGAATTCACCAGTGAACATTAAATGAAACCATATCTTTTTTTTTTAAGAGGTTTTTGCTATAGGGTGCGTGCACTTGACAGAAAGACAGAGGGACACAGAGAGACAGAAAGCAAGACATCACTCCCCCGCCCCCGCCCCAGAGCTGGCCACACCTCAATCCCTTCTCTTCTAGGGATCTTGGACATGTATGCGCATGTGCCCAACATGAGTTTAAGCCACTGGGTCCAGAACTTGAACCGCAGTAGACTACGTGGGAATCCAGTGACATAGCCATTACACCAACTGCTGGTCCCATGAAACCACATCTTAAAGTAAATGTGTAAGTAGAGCCTGATTGTGTCACTGCACACTTACCTGGTACATACGTAGTTTAAAGATATTTAGGGAAAGCCGTGTTAAATGCAAATATTATCTTTTATATAAAAAAGTTAACAAGTCAAAATAATTATTATCCTATCTATAGAAGTACATGTCTATGCATCTAATCTTCTAGTTTGATAAATTTTTATTAAAATTTATATATATGCATACATATAAGTGTCTTACAGAAAGTTTCTGTAGCTTTTGTTCCACACTCTTTTTTGTTTCTGATGATTCAAAACACTCCTTAAGGTTCATATTAATGTTGCTGAACCAGTCATTAAAGTTCTTACATTGATCTGCAGGGGAAAAGAAAGCACTATTCATTAAAGGAGGACTTTCATTAAAGTGGGGGATTTTGAAACTTGCTTCCCATGCCATGCATACGAGTCATTTTGTAAAGTGGAATTAAGCTCTGAAACCCACTTCAGCCTAGAATGGGGTGTATTTTCTACATCAAGCCTTTTGTCCAAGCATACAGGACACCCCAAGCCACTTGCAGAGGCAGCCTGCTCATAGGCATGTCCGCAGGCTAACTGATTGCATTGAGCAGGTCAAACACAAGAACTCCGGTGACTTACCTTCATGAAATAAAGATCTGGAACGGAAAGATATAAATGTTATTTACGTCAGTCATGGATCACTGAGTGCTTCCCCCCAAATGACTTGTCTGAGTATCATTTCCTTAAGCTGTCCAAACCATCACTCAGTCAGGCTTAGACTAGCGCTATGTTCACAGCACTATTCATACTTCCAGAAATAAAGAAAAGAAACATTGCACTCACCATTCAGTAACTTAGAAAAGTGATCTTGCAAGACACTCTTTTTGGTATTAAATAAATCACTGACACTTTCATATTGCTTTTTCAGTTCAGAGAGTTCAGGAGTCAGACAACCTATTTGATTCTCAAGTAATATCATACTGTGCTTCTGTTGCAGAATTTGCTGTTGTATCTCCTAAATATACAAACAAACATCCATTAAGTCTTAACGTGGGTTCAGCTTACACAAAGCATATTAGATCTCAATTATTTTGTAAAAATCTAGATAGTTTTCTATTGAGTGAGTTCCCTTTCTCTTTGCTAGCAAATGCACAATACAGTGTAAATTAATATCAGATCATTACTGTCCACAAAGCGATTCAAAAGTGAAAATGCTAAACATACACAAACTTTTTTTGAGGCTTTTGTCCTAGATTTTTTTTCTCTATTTATTAAACTCAAGAGGTCAAGACTATCAGAAATATGTGTAAAAATAAGTCAGAACCACAGAAGACAAGCCACTGGGCAGCACCTCTAGTTTAGTGAAGATCTCCAAGCTGTCGGAAGGAGACAGGGCTTTTAAGAGGGACTCAGTCATCCCAATCTGAGTCTTGGCTTGGTCGAGATCTTCCCTCAGCTCAGCTGTGCTGCCGCCGAGGGCATGGCAAGTGGATTCTCCTGTTAAATACATTTTCATGTGTTCCATCTTGTTCAAAATAGAGGACTCCATGACCTGAAATCATGAGACATAAGACACACTGTAACAGACATTATTTAACCAGATTTCCAGACAGCTCCACTGGAGAGGAGACAGCTTCATTTCAGTGTGAAATTTATTTTTCATTGTTCTATGTCGCTGACCTAATTTGACTATTGCCTTTAAGGGAATAAAGAATAGCACTGACTATGATGTGCTTTTTCCTAGGAGACTAATTTGAATCCTTTCCCCTAAAGCAAGTTTTATCTAACATGTCATGAAGTGCTATCTCATGGGTTTCATGAGATAAAATATACAGAAAAACATACGGATGAGATTAAAACATAAAGAAAAAATAGCCATCAATAATTGAATATTTGGTCTGTACACAAATATTCAAATTTTTTGTATACACATACTGGGTAATAAGCACACACATCAAATACAGTTGGTCGCTGGAAAAATCATGATGCACTTTTGCATAGAAAAATACATCATGACCCAATAAAATACAGGTTAAGTAACCTGCCCAAGATCACCAAGCCAGTAGGCGGCATGGCCTCATTCAAAGTCTGACTTCAGAGCTGGTTTTCAAGCTCTGTGTCTTGATCTAAATAAACCTAAAACAGATCTCTTTACACAACAGAAAAATCATACTTGGGGCAATCTTCCTATTTCTCCATCTAGCAATTAATAAGCCAAGGACCACTTGAGTCATATTCTTCCTCTACCCAAGACACTCATAGTAAACCACTGTTTTTACAAGGAAGCACTGGCAATGCTTCCCCATTCACACAAAAAATCTGTAAAAGAAGTGAAGTGAGAACAAGAGTGCAAAAACATAATACTGTTCATGCTAGAAGTGGGAAAAAATTAACCGTACCAATTAAATGTAATCATACCGATTATTAAAATCTTGGTTAGACCTACCATAGGAATTGAATAAAAAATTATCTTAATTCTATTTTAGTTTGAAGATGGAATATACTGTTTGTGGCCATTATTTTAGAGGATATAGAGAATCATAAACTAGGATTTTTACAGTAAAAATTCTGTTACCTGCAGTTCAAGAGGTATTTCATTGCTTTGAAGCAGAAACTGTATTTCGGCCACTCTTCTGGAAAATTCTGAAGACTTTTGTTCATAGATTTGTAAGTCTTCCTAAAACATAAAATTTTAAAGAATATCTTTTTATTCCATACCTTACTTTCTGGTACACATAATTACTATTGTTGATATAGAAACGGAGCACCCTTGTATTTTTCTGAGGCACTTCGTTTTCTTTTTTTAAGAGTCCGAAGTTACAAATTCAACTGCCTTCAGGGATCAAGCAAAGGCTACCACTGAGGGATGCTTTCTAGCTATTAGGCAAGAGAGGAAGGGGCAAGGCCTGTGCCCTGAGGTGCTTGGCCTGCCTAAAGGCAGTACTTTTCATAGATAGGTACATACAGGTTATAAACAAATACACACACACACTACCAACTTCAGCATTTCTGCATTACACCAAACCACAAAAAAACAGCCAAAGCTTCACTGTTTTCTGACCTAGTGAAAAGCTGACTTTCCACGGTAGAAACTAATACTATGTAAGCAACAAACTATTGGAAAGTGTTCTTTCTTTTTGGTTTTTGGGTTTTTTTGGGGGGGAAGGGGTGGGAGGAGACATTTTTGGTATAGAACACGTGCACTCGCCAGAAAGAGAGAGACAGAAAGCAAGAAATCACCACCACCACCACCACCCCCCAGAGGGGATGGCCACAACACAATCCCTTCTCTTTCATTCTCCTCTTTGGATCTTGGGCACGCACGCACACGTGCCCGGTGTGAGTTTAAGGCACCAGGTCCGGGACTCAAACCATGGTCAACTACACGAGAGTCCAGCAACGTAGCCATTTTGCCATCTGCTAGTCGCTGGAAAGTGTTCTTTCTAGACTTAAGAGATCGTTTTGATTCTTCCCAAATGACAGTACCTGAAATTACTGTTTTAAAAAGTTGCTTTTTAAAAACTCTATAAGGATGGCATACTCACCCTTGTATTTTTTTCTAATCTCTTTGAGGCAGTGTTTAATTCAAGCAATGAATTAATTAAACAATTAATTTGGTGAAGCCTTTGTATTCCTTTGTATAACATTTTTAAAATAAAACAAATTATTTGTCCATATTGGGGTCTAGATCAAAAGTTAACAAACCACAGCCTGAGAGCTGACAGCCTGTTGTTGTAAATAAAGTTATATTGGGACCCAGCTACTTTCACGCATTTAAGTATTATCTGCCCCTGTTTTCATGCTACCACAGCAGGGTTAAGTAGCAGTCATGGGGACAGAAAAATCCAAAACCCTAAAATATTTACTTCATGGTCCTTTAAAAATAAAAAGTTGGCCAGAACCAGCAGGTGACATAATGGTTACATGGCTGGACTTCCGCAAGGTCAACCATGATTCCAGTCTGGGACCTGGTGGCTTGAAACTCAACGCTAGGCACTTGTGCCTGTATGTCCAAATCCCAATAGGAGAATGCAGGAGAAGGGAATGCAGTGTGGCCATCCCCTCTGGGGGTGATTTCTTGCTCTCTCTCTTTCTCTCTTTCTCTCTTTCTCTTTCTCTCTTTCTCTCTCTCTCTCTCTCTCTCTCTGTGTGTGTGTGTGTGTGTGTGTGTGTCTCCAGAGACAAAAAATATAGCAAAAATCTCTTAAAAAAAAAAAAGTCTGCCATCCCCTAGTTTCTAAGCTAATTGCCTGGGAATAATTATATATTTTGTTGGGGCTTCTGATAGTAGTTCTTAAATTTTTTAATACTATGAAACCCTTTGATAATTTGATGAAGCCTTTGTATTCCTTTGTATAACAATATTTTTAAAATAAAACAAATTATTTAGGATTATATAAGAAAACAATTACATCGGGTTACAGTTATCAAAGTATTACATAACATGGAATATATATTACTACATTTATCTAGCAATACTTTAAAGAACAAGAGTTAACAGTGAACCTACCAAACCCCGTACTTTTTGTCAAAGTAGTGACAAGGGGGACCAGCAGTTAGCGTAATGGCTATGTCGCTGGACTCCCACGTAGTCAACCGCAGTTCGAGTCCCGGACCCGGTGGCTTAAACTCACGCCGGGTGCGTGTGCGTGTGTGCCCAAGATCCCAAGAGAAGAACGGAGGAGAAGAGATTGCAGCATGGCCATCCCCCCTGGGGGGTGATTTCTCACTTTCTGTCTCTGTCTGATGAGCGCACGTGCCCTATAGCAAAAACCTCTCCAAAAAAAAAAAAAAAGTAGTGACAAGGGTAATAGTTACAACTGAATAAATGATTCATAAATGGCTTTGATTTTCTTAATAACAAAGTCACATATAAATATCCACCCTATTAAGTTTGTTGACTAGATTCATAATTGAATCAAATGCTACATTTTAGATAGACATTCATGCAAATGAATATGCAATCTTTTCCCATTTGAGGTCATTTTATCCATGAACCCCTTCAATGTTTGTGAGCCTCACATGAACAATATCTGCTAGCCATTTCCCAAATGTCACAAGGAAAATGACAGAATTCAGATCCCTCTCAAGGGATAATGAAACAAAGGATTTCTTTGTGATTTTTTCATGACATCAAGAAAGAAAATCAGTATTAAGATGTCCTTTGCATATAAAGAAATATATACATTTGATCTCTATTAAATTACCTTCAGCCTTTCTCTGTCCTCTGCAGAAAGCTGATGTAATTCTATTTTCTGAATAGATTTTTCAGTCCACTCTTCAATAGCACTTTTTGAGTGAAAAAGTTTGTCCCATAAAGCTAGAGCTCGACCAAGATTTTCATAGTAGTCTTCTGCCTTCTCATTGATCTACCATAATTTAAAAATATATAAACAGCACATGAAGTAGGGGAAAGTATGAAAATCACCATTTCAGTAACGCATTGTATAAGAACAAAATTTTTATTTACCATTACTAGCTAAAGAATTTCCTTTACTCGTCAACAAAAGATATGCTTTAACATGTCATGTAGATTTATATTTTCCCCTTCAAAAAAAAAAAAAAAAAAACCTTAGCTGATCTGCTGAAACTTATATGTAATTGAAAGTAATAGTCTAATTTCTAAACCACATATGTTTAAAAAGGGTGTCTTAAAAAATCCCAGATGAAAATATAATGAAGGTAAATTCTTATCCTAAAATTTATAACAATATTACAACTATGCAAGTGACAATGTGCTAAGTATATAGTTAAGCTTCAACATTTTTCACGAATAGATAATACATTAATTAGTTTAAATAAGTTAAGTATGCATTTTTATCCCTGCAATATTACAAATCCAATTATTATTAGTATCTAACTCAGGGGATGAAATTAACTCCTAAGTTATAAATTTTATATTATTCGAACATTTTACATTGAATTTTGTAATTAGATAAAAATAAACAATACACACAACATTAAGCAACTTAATTGTTATAAAATACAATTTGCAGTAAACTAAATTATGACGTACATCAAGCCACCTATCCACAATAATATTAGCCTCTTTTTCAAAAGGGGGCTCTTCAAAGGTTTTCATTTTATTTAGATGAAATTGTAGATTTTTGCAGATCTGGTTTATCTTGTCTACAACTTCTAAGTGTTCACTAAATTCTTCTTTAACAATTTCAATCTGCAAAAAAGATATGAAAGATGTTTTTGATATATTGACATAGACAAAATTAAAAATTACAGTTCTATTATTGACTATTCAGCTTAAAAGCAACATCATAATAAAGAATAATTCCTTATTATTTTGTTCTTTCTTAAAGTGGGCTTTTTTTGTCCCACTTTTTCAATGAAAAGTTTTTAGAGTCCTAATCACAGGTTTAATGATAATCCTACATTCCAATTTACTCTTACTATGCATGATGAAATAATTATAATGGTCTAAAATCATATTTTTTTGTCCATGTGAATTAAGATTCTACCAAAAAAAAAAAAAAAGACAGTTCTACATCCTTCTAAGAGGAAACATCTTTTTAATGTCAAGAAACCTAGGTGCTCATCTGAATAAAATAATCAGAACTCTAAAACATCTTTAATATGACTTCTAATTTAATCTTCTATGATTCTAACTCCATTATTTTTAACATGGAAGGTGAAATTGCTACTTTATCAAAAGGATAATCTCCAATCATTTAGAAATGAAACAACATACTTCTAAATATGGGTCAAAAGTGAAGTGTCTAGAGAATTCTGAAATATATCAAACAGAATGAAAAAGAAAATAAAATATCAAGATGTATGAAACACAAAGTATTACTGAAAAGAAACTGATAACACTAAATACATATGTAAGAAACAAGAAAAATTGTCAGGCTTGTCCCATAGCTTAGTGTTTCAAAAACAGGATCACATACTGGCCAAATACACAGTTCGAATCCTAGACCCAGTGGCTTGAAAAACATACATGGCATTTGTGTGTGCATGTCCACTACCCCAACAGGATGGAGAATGGGACTGTGGTGTGACCAAGCCCCACTGGGGGCATGTTTTCTCCCTTTCCTCTGATTCTGCCTCTGGTAAGAGTACATACTTTCTGGTAAAATTTTTTTAAAAGAGAAGAGGAATGGTCTCAAATCAATAATCTAAGCTACCCTTTCAAGAATCTAGGAAAACAACAAAATAAAACTGAAACAAACAAAAGGAAGAAATTAATAAAAATGGAAATGAAAATCAATTGAATTGGGACCACTGGGTGGCATGGTGGTTAAGGCACTGGACTCCCACATGACCAACTAATGTTCTAGTCCCAGACCTGGTGGCTTGCTTTCTCACTCCTCCCAACACCTCTCTCTCCCTCTGTCTCCCTCTAGTGAGCGAATATGCCCTGTAGCAAATTACAAAATAGTAATAAAATTAAATAATTCTTGAAACAGAAGAACGTTAGAACATAAATCAATAGAACAGAATTCTTTGAAAAATCTGTAAAATTGCCAAATCTATAGAAAGACTGACAGAGGAAAAAAAAAAAAAAAGAAGAAAGAAGAAAGCAATATAAGCACTAAGGATTTCACGTAAGTCATAACAGACATCAAAAGGATAATAGGGGGAACCAGCAGTTAGCATAATGGCTATGTCGCTGGACTCCCACGTAGTCGACCGCGGTTCGCATCCTGGACCCAGTGGCTTAAAACTCATGCCAGGCGCGTGTGCGTGCGTGCCCAAGATCCCGAGAGGAGAATGGAGGAGAAGGGATTGTGGCGTGACCATCCCCCCGGGGGGTGATTTCTCGCTTTCTGTCTCTATGTCCATCTCTGTCTGTCTGGCGAGCGCACACGCCCTATAGCAAAAACCTCTCCAAAAAAAAAGGATAATAGGGGATATGCTACAAGTAACTCGACACACCTGAATGTGAGAACGTAGATGAAATATATTAATACTTTGAAAAACAAACTACCACAACTCATTCCACTATGAAATATATAGCATGAATAGCCTTATTAACCTTAAAGCAATTGAACATATAGAAACTTTCTCAAAAGAGATCTATAGATCCCAATGGCTTCACTAAAGAATTCTACCAAACATCCACAGAGGAACTAACATCAATCACACACAGTCACTTCTGGAAAACAGAAAAAAAGGGAAAACTCCCAATTCGTTGTATGAAAGCTGGGCATGCCCATTGTACATGTTAAATGCTGTGCATAGGGAACTGGATCCCACATGGCCAATTGCAGATTGAGCCCTGGCCTTGGAATTTGAAAAACACATGAGGTGTGTGTGCATGGATGCTCCAAATCCTGAGAGAACTGGTGACGGATTGCAGCATAACCATACCTCCTCAGGGAGTCTCATTCCCATTCATTCTCTCTCACACACACATAAATCCAAGCATATGCCCTCTCTGGCAATTAAGTTTTTTTAAAAAAAAGTCTTAATAAAGAAAGCAAAAATAGATCTTATATAAGTACCTGAGGCCAGCCAGGGGTGAGGTAGCTACGTTAGCTAGATCCCAACTGTGCAGTTCAAGTCCTGGATCAGGTGACTTGAGGAACATGCCAGGCATGTGAGCCATGCATGCCCAAAATTTAGAGAAGGGAATGGAGAAAAGATTGTGGTATGGCCATCCTCGTGAGGGGGTGATTTCTCACATTTTTTCTCTCTCTCCATCTCTCTCTGATAAGCACATATGCCCTATAGCAAAAACTAAAATTATTTAATTAGCTAACTAATTTTAAAAAGAAAGTATCTGGTTTGCTATCAAAATCAAAGAAATCTGTACCAAAAAAGAAACTACAGGGATCCAACAGTGGTGTAGTGGTTGAGGCAGCTGCATCTCCCATGGCCAAGTGTGTGGCTCGAGTTGTGGCTTACAAAACACTCCAGATGCATGTGCATGGCCAAAATCGCAAGAGGAGAGTGGAGAAGGGATTGCAGCATGACCATACTCCCGATGGGTGCTTTCTCACTTTCTCTCTCACACAAGTAAATATGCCCCCTAGCAAAAATTAAAAAAAAAAAAAAAGAAAAGAAAAAGAAATGTCAAACCAATGTCCCTCAAGTACATACAAAAATCCTTAGCAAATATTATCAAAAGAATTTATTAACATCCAATGACTTGTATACCATAACCGCATAGGCGTTATTTTAGGAAGGCAAAGCTGGTTCTACACTCAAAAATCAATTAATGTAATCCACCACATTAACAGGTTAATGCAAAAAAAAAAAGAAAACCAACATACTATTATTTTAGTTAACACAGAAAAAAGCATGTATGTAAATTGATAGTAATTCTGGAAAACAATTTGGCAGTTCCTTCTAAAAACAAATAAGCAATTAACATACATAATAAAGGATTCTCAGCCCACTCTGACATTTCCCAAACTTTTAAAGTCCCCTGACAGTCCAGCCTTCTAGTCTTACTTTTGCACTTCTTTCATTAAAGAGAGTAGGAACTTGACACCATATCCTAGATAAGCATCCAGGTTTCTATGGTTTTGAAGGACAGAAGTTCTCAGTAGTATTATATTCCGCTATTGATACCAAGTATCATGAAAATACATACTATAGCGGTTGACGATTTCTGCAGACAGCCCCTAAGGTATCACAAAATTAACTGAAAGTTAACAATGAGCACTGAACTGTTTTCAGAAAGTTACATTAAAAAATCTTTTAAAAAAATAAATATTCATGCACTAAAACATCTATATCATCCATACAAACCATTCAACCCTTGTTTATCTCAGCAAATACATAAAGTGCCCATATGCTAGACACCATATTAGGTACAAAATTCTCCAAGTAAGAAAATCTTGGACTATTACACATTTCTTAAAGGTAATTAGTTATTTTATTAATTTTAACACTGCACTTTGCAAGCAAGCTTTTACAGTTGAATAAAAAGTGTAGACAAAGCAAAATCAACCAATTTTTACTCAAGCCATATACCTACTGATACTTCAAATATGCTTTGAGACAATAAACGTTATGAGATACTACATTTCTTAGCATGTAGTGAATTTTTTAAAATCTGAAAAAAATTCTGATATTATATGTCTTAAAATGAATGGCATACTTTGTTATCAACTATTTTTTCATTTTTTTAAAGAGAGATTTTTGCTATAAAGCATGTGCACACATTGGACAGAGAGAGCGAGAAATCACTCCCCAGGGTGAATGGCCACGCCACAATCCCTTCACCTACATTCTCCTCTCAGGATTTTGGGTACACATGCACACACATCTGGCTTGAGTTTTAAGCTGCCAGGTACAGAACTCAAAAAATATGGCTGACTACATGAGAGTCCAGGGATGTAACCCTTACACCATCTGCTGGCCCCTCATGTCTTAATATTAAGAAATGAGATTCTGTACGTTATAATTACAGAATCTAAGATTTAAATAAAACATGGTACAAATGGGGGGAGGTCTTCAGAAAGTTCATGGAAATTGTATATTACGAAAAAACTACACACAGATTTCAAAATACTTTCACACAAACTCATACTGTCATTTCATTTTCCATGAACTTTTTTTTTTTGGAGAGATTTTCACTGTAGGGCGCGTGCGCTCGCCAGACAGACAGAGAGAGACATAGAGACAGAAAGCGAGAAATCACCCCCCGGGGGGATGGTTACGCCGCAATCCCTTCTCCTCCATTCTCCTCTCGGGATCTTGGGCATGCACGCACACGCGCCCGGCGTGAGTTTTAAGCCACCGGGTCCGGGATACGAACCGCGGTCGACTACGTGGGAGTCCAGCGACATAGCCATTACGCTAACTGCTGGTTCCCTCCATGAACTTTTTGAAGTCCCTGCATATTAACCATTGACTTTGCTTACTATGTTTATACTGAGTAATCATGCCTATGACCTTACAAGACCTTACTTAGTTGGCTGTCCAGAATTGGGCAATTACAAGGTAGAAATGTCCATGAAAGCATTTCTCTCTTTTATGAAATATACAGATTAATAAGTATGAGTCATAACAGAATATTATGAAATAGGGCTTAAAATCCCTTGCTTTTACTTCTGTACAAATATATAGACAAATACTTATAATGTTAAAGGAATAACTCAGAAGAGCTCAAAACAAGCATGTGTGTATGTACACGTGTGTCTGCATGGGTAAATAGCAGTTATCATCAGACGACATCTAGTTGAAGGGGTTTGTAGCTTTTATTTTACATTCTTCTACTGACACATAATAAAACACAAACTAGACTTCAAGATTACCATGGTGGATTCAATATACATGTTTGCTTTGGCTCTCTCCCCAAAAGCTACTAAAGGACAGGAAAGAATGAAAATAGTACAAACCCACAAATGCAAATAGAACAGAAGATGAGAATGCTCTCAAGGTGTGAGAGGAGACATTCAGAGCTGAATGGTGAGTGATGATTGACTTAACAAAGCACGAGTGATGATACTGTAGCCCAAAAGAAAATAGAAGAAAGGAGGAGAGGGAAAAGGGGAGAAGCCGAAACGAAGTAAGGCCGTTTATGGCACAGACTCTAGAAAAAGGCTAGAAATTACCTTAAGGGGCCCATGAAGGCAGGCACAGAATCGAACATTGGCAAGACTAGATTATTTATATATATATAAACATATATATAAATATATATATAATAATTTACATATATAAATATATGTATTTATATATATATATATATAAATAAACACACACACACATATATTTTAAGAGGTTTTTGCCTTAGGGTACATGAGCTCCTGGGAAGAGAGACAGAGACAGTGAAAGAGAAAGTAAGAAATCACCCTCCTGGGGGATGGTCACACCGCCATCCCTTCTCCATTCTCCTCCTGGGATCCTTGGGATTCATGCTAACATGCCCAGTGTGAGTTTCAAGCCCCCCAGGCCCGGGACTCGAATTGCAGTGGGTCATGTGGAAGTACAGCGACGTAACCGCTACACTATCTGCTGGCCCAATAATTTTTAAGGGAAACTGTTTAGACTCTCAGGCCCTCCTCCATCTGGTTAGGTGACCTCGTTCCACACGCTGGGAAAAAATAGATTGGCTTTCTGGAGAGGCACTGGACTTGGAGCTGCTAAGCACAGCTGAGGACAGAGGTAGGGTCCTGTTATGAAGCTATGGAGGAGCTAATGATGGCAGAAGAGACAACACCTTAGCCCAGATTCCCATCAGGGACACTCATCCAGGAGTGACCTGACTGTTAGTGACAGGGAAATTTTATTAGTCGGATAAGCTCACCCAGAAAGCAGTTTACTGCTACAGTTGTGGACAGTGGGAAGAGCTGCAGACAGACCACACATAGGGTGGAGCACCATAGTGAACAATCATTGAGAGGCTGGTAAGTCCCAGGCACTGCCCTAGGTGTCTCTGCTAGGGACCTAAAGATGCTGCCTCACCAAGACAAGAAGGAGATGGCTTTATGCTGGCAACTGGCTCCAGGACTGGGGAGGATACCCATAAGCTAACAAAAGCTGCAAGTCCAGAGGAATTAGGAATCTGTTCCGTACAGAAGGCAGGGCCTAGGACCTGCTGAATAACGCAGAGACCTCCATCCTGAAATAAAAGCACAAGGTAGGAGAATGGGGTCTGGGTGCAGCAGAAGGGTGGCTATGTGAACAGCCCCTTTCTATTACAACATCTCGAAAAAGGCTAGAAATTACCTCAAGGGGCCCACGGAGGCAGGCATACAGGGACTCAAGCCCGAGGGAATCTTGGAAGGCTAACCATCCTGCATTCTCCAGGAACCGAGTAACCAGTACTCCTTAAAATGTACTGGAATGAGGACAAGATCTTCCGAGTTTCTAGGTCTAGCCAAACCCGGAAGCTGCCTCCACTGGATGGACCCAGATGGGCAGCAGCTGAGCAGCTCCAACGATCTGCTTGCAGGCTTGCTGGCTTCAATTAAGTCGGATAGAAACCCAGCTACACGGGCACACGGGGATACACCTGGAGTCCACACAGGGCTCCTGACTGGTCAGCTCTTAAGTCTGAGAAAGAGGGTCTCAGAAAGGGCTATTCCTGACACTCCGTGACACTCTGGGTATCACTTCAGTTTCAGGGCTAATAGTTCCAGATAAAGATTAAACTGTCTATAAGACTGATCTATTTAAGCTTGACCTGACACTGCTCTCAGCAACTGGAGGGCTTTATAAAATTGCTCTCTAACATCCAGGTGCATCAAGTAGACTCCATTTCACACACGCTCTGACAACCCTGTAGCTTAGTACTCAAAAAAGGTAATAAGAAAAGCGGCTTTCTGGTTATAGTCATATAGAATAGGTAATGTAGTGTCTTCTTTTCTAACTCTTCCATTCTTCTACAGCTCTGGTTGATAACTACATAAAATCATAGAAAATAATGACACCTAGTGTCCAAAAACGTTATTCTTCTTAGGCTATGAAGTGGTTGGTGAGGCTCTGAACAGAAATGAAATGACACAAAGATCAGCTGACTCTTCTCTGCAGACAGCGTGTAAGTAAAAACGTAAATCTTCCTTTGTCCGCTAATAACAACAGTGGGGATTTGCCTACCATCCTCGTTTTTCTCAACACAGCAAAGACGCCTCAGGTTCCTTTTACATGGAGGTTGGCGAGAAGGTTGTTACAACCTTACAGAGAGAGCAACAGAGGTGACCCCAGGCTCCAGGCAGAATCACAGCCCCAGTATTAAAACTCAAACAGGGAGCCAAGTGGTGGTGCAACCGTAACACAACCAAACCCAAGATCTTGGTCTCAAATCCCAGAAACTCCCTGAGCACATGTGCCTGTAATCCAAGACGACTGAGACTGGATCACGGCGTGCAGAGCCTATCACAGGGGTCTCTCTCTTTCTCATGGAAATAAATTAAACAGTTAAAGTGCGTGCCCAAGATCCCGAGAGGAGAATGGAGGAGAAGGGATTGCGGCATGAAATCACCCCCTGGGGTGAGTGATTTCTCACTTTCCGTCTCTATGTCTCTCTCTGCCTGTCTGGCAAGAGAACGCGCCCTATAGCAAAAACCTCTCCAAAAAAAAAAAAAAAAAAAAAAAAAGATGCAACTCAACAGTAACAGGAATTGATTTTTTTTCCTAAGCTCTAATAAAAACTTCAAGACATTCTTAGATACTGGTAATATAGAGTCACTAGTAATTTCTCTTAAAGTTTTAAAAAGACTTCGTTTGTCACTTCTCTTACTGGTGAGCGTGTGGATCACTGTGCAGAGCTTTTTCTCCTGGAATGCGGACTCACCTCTGCTATTCTTTTCTTCAGGTTCTCCTTCCCCATGTACGAAGCCTGAAGGGAGATGACATTCTCTTCTTTTTGAATCAAATTTGTCAAGACATTTTTAAAATTATGATATTGTTTCAAGAGCTCCAAGACTCTTCCACATTGTTCAAGACTATAAAGAGAAAAATATACAAAACAGTTAAATATCAGAAAATATAAAAACCATTATTTCTCTCTGTAAGTATCCCACAACAATGTCATTAAAGGATTTTTCCTCTTGACATGGTTTCCAAAATCATTTTACCAATTTAACCTAAAAATGACGGTGCATGCATTTATCTGCCAAACAGATGAAATAATCACTGGATTAGTATTGTCACTGCCAGATGGCAGCCAGCAGGTGGCATGGTGGTTAAAATGCTGGACTCCAACATAGCCAATCATGGTTCGAGTTCTACACCTGGAGGCTTGCTTTCTCACTTTCTCTCCGTCTCTTTCTGGTGAGTGCATGTGTCCATAGCAAATTTTAAAAAGTAATAATAAATAAAAATTAAGTAATTCTTAAAAACCAAAGTCACAGAGATAAACTCCAGAAAGAAACACAAAATGTATAGCCTTAAGGAATCAGTATCTCCATTTCATCACTAACCAAAAGACATCTTGAAAACAGTGCCTCCCTACCACTATTCATGGAGATTATTTTAATATTATCCAGCAAGTCACAGATTGCTTATGGGGACATCTATTCTACTCCTTCTAGATCAAGCCCTTTTTAAAAGTAAAGTAGAGCCAGAAAGTAGCACAGAGGTTAAGGCAGCTGGATCCCACATGACTGATTACACGATTTGAGTCCCAGACCCAGCAGCTTGAAAAACACACAGGGCACATGTACATGCTTGCCTAAAATCCGAAGAGAGGGATGGAGGAGAAAGGACTGCAGCATTGCCGTTTCCCCTGGGAGGATGCTTTCTACTTTTCCTGTCTTTCTCTCTGTTTCTCCAGTAAGCGCATGTGTCCTATAGCACATTTAAAAAATTAATAATAATAATTAAGGCAGTACAAATAATATGGCAGTTAGCACACCTGCTTCCGAGAATGGCTGGGCACTAACTGGCCATGTGACTTTGAACACATTAGTTTAGCCTTTTTGATTTTAAAAAAAATTTTTTTTTTTCCATGAGCAAGAAAGAAAGACAGAGAGACCCTCCAACAGTATCTTGATGCTGTGATCCACCCCAGCCTTCAGCCAGCCCCAGTTCATGGCTAAGCACATGCCTGCAGTGCTCAGGGAGGTCTCTAGACTTGAACCAACCTTCCCATGTAGGACTGTCTCACAAAGCATTTCATTTTACTGACTGGCCACCATCTGGCCCCTACTTTAGCTTCTTTGGATTTCAATTCTGTCTTCAATAAAATTGGAGGGTAGACTAGACAGATTACAGGCAGAGCCAGCCAGCGTAGCGCAGTAGCACACATTAGATGCCGCTGCTGGACAGGCTGAGACCACGCGGGGGGCCCATGTTTGATTCCTGGCCTACCTTAAAGGCCAGCCTTGGTTGCGTGTGCCTGTAATCCCAGCTATTCAGGAGGTTGAGGTAAGAGGATTCAAGTGCAAGGCCAGCCTGGGGAGCATAGCCAAGGAAGGAAAGAAGGAATGGAGAGGAAAGGAAGAGCGAAAGAGAGAGAGAAAGAAAGAGAAGGAAAGAGAGAAGGGAAGATGACAAAGGTGAACAAATGGGTATAAGAGCCTACAGAAATAAATAACATAGCTTAAGTTTAGGACTTCAGACCGCCAGAAGTATAAAATAATAAATCTAAGTTCTTTTTAAGTTATTAAACTGGTGGTAATTTGTTATGGCAGCAACACTGTAACCAAGACAAGTGAGATGATAATAAGTATAAACATATGCGGGGACTTGAAAAAGTTTGTGGAAAAAGGGAATTAAAGCATGAGTTTACTTTGGTGCAAAAACAAATTTTAAAACCTACGCATAGTTTTTTCCTAATGTGCATTTTCCACAAACTATTTCAAGAACCCTTCATACAGTCATCCCTTGGTATCCACAGAAGACTGGTTCCAGAATCCCCCATGGATACCAAAAATGTATGAATGCTCAAGTCCCTTGTAGTCAGCCCTCCTTATCCACAGGTTTGGCATCCCTAGATACAGAGGGACAACTGGGTATTTGTTATCCTCGACAGAGAAGCCCTCTGGTACATTTTACATATGATCTACAATTCCAGGTCTCGTCCCAGACATGAGCCGGTGAGCTCCATTGTGAAACACTTATGTTTACCCCTTTTTTGTAGGCCTACAGGGATATGTCTTCACTATAAAGTTTCAAAAGTTTATGGTGCCTCAGACAGATTTTCAGATTCTGAAGGGATAGTTCTTTTCCTTACCACTCATTGACTGAAGCTTTGGTTTGCTCCCACAGGTGTATGGTTTGTTGACACTGTTGATTCACAGTTTGGTCTCTGCCATCTTGGAGTTGTGGAAGAGAATCAGCCATTCCCTGTAAGTGTCTCTTTTCTTCTTCATAGTCATCTAGATCCTTATCCAGTCTGGTTAATAATTGTTTCCTTGATTAAGAATAAGAAAAGTTTGAGTGCCAACTGTCAACCATTTGACTCAACAAACTATGATTAAAATGGGGAAACACACGAACTTCAGTTTGTCCCCATGAGATCGATGCCATAACGAGGGTATGAGTGGGAAAGAGAGCATGATGTGGCAAAAAGAAAACAGATGGACGACTGAGCACTGCAAAGCTCTGATGGAAAGGTGGCGTGGCCAACGATAGAGTAAAAGGAGAAGAAAATCTTACTCTTCTCACCCTGTATGAAAAGCTCTTCCATACTAAAATGGGGTCATTTAAGGGTTTTAACTAAACTAATCCTAGAGGAATTCACTCCATTCACATTAACCAAAATTGCTAAAGTGTTCACTTGCCTCTACTTTCTCTTCTCCAATTTTCTGTCACTTTAATTCATGATAGAGCAAATCAATGGGCTATTAGAGTGAGAGAGAGATGAACTCTCTCCACAGGGGCATGGTTACTCTGCAATCCTCTTCCTCCAGCTCTCCAGCCCATCTTGGATCTTGGACACAAATGAGCATGCCTGGAGTGTTTTAGGCTGACTGGGCCAGGGATTCAAACCAAGGCCACCATGTGGGAACCAGCTTTTCTCTGAGCAGCATGTTACCACTGCACCATGGAGCTGGCTTCAGTTCTCTCTTGAGCCCAGTCCCAAAACATTCTATATCTCCATTAACCTCCCCATTGTGAAATCCATGTTCCATTCTCTGTCTTCACTTTACTGAACTGGTCAGCAGCCTTTGACATAGTTGATTACCTCTTCCTTGTTGAAATGCCATCTTCACTTGACCCCTAGTACTCTTGATTCTCCTACCACACCAGCTGACCCTTCTGAGGGACATCAGCTGGTTTCTTCTCATCTTACTGATCTCATAACATGGCATGGCCAGAGAATAAAACTTAGACCTCTCATCTGTCTAAACTCACTCCCTCAGTAATTTCATCCATTCTCATGGCTTTACATAGCATTCTAAAATGCTGAAAATTCCCATATCTCTCTCCTGACTCCTGATGCTGTCCATTTTTAAGAGTCTTGTATTATTGCTACTTGAAGTTCAAATAAATAATGTGACCCTATCATTTCTAAAACTGAGCACACCTGATTTTTTTTTTTTTTTTTTTTTTTTTTTTTTTTTTGTTTTTTGGGAGGTTTTTTTTTTTTTTTGTGGAGGGGGAGAGGTTTTTGCTGTAGGGTGCATGCACTAGCCAGAAAGAGAGACAGAAACGAGAAATCATCCCCCGGGGCAATGGCCATGCCCCAATCCCTTCTCCTCCATTGTCCTCTCAGTATCTTGGGCACGCACGCACACACGCTCAGTGTGAGTTTAAGTCACCACGTCCAGGACTCGAACTATGGACAACTACATGAGAGTCCAGGGACATAGCCATTGCGTCATCTGCTGGTCCCAAGCACACCTGATCTTTCAGTCAATGCTTGAAAAATGTCTTTTTCATCTCAGATAATAATAACTCTATACTTCTAGCTGCTCAAGTCAAGCCTTGGCATCATTCTTAACTCCAATCTTCCTTTTACAACCCATATCCAATGTGCATGTAACTCTGTGGACTCTGTCTTCAAAATATATACAGAATCTATATTTACAGAATCTTAACACTTTTCACCACCTCACTACAGGTCCCTGCCATCGTCACCCCTCATCAGGATTAACACAATAAGTTGAACTAAATTTCCTGAGTTTTCCCTGGACACCTAGTCTATCTCAACATGCCAATGAGAGACAACCAGTTATGATGAAAACCAAACCATTTCCCTCTGCCCAGAGCTCTCCAAAGGCTTCCCATGTCACTCAAAGGCAAAGTCAGTCATGGCATTGGTGACGAGGCCCTACAAGAGCACACGCCCGTTATCTATCTCCATCACACCATTACTTCTGTGACCCCCTTTCAGACCTCTTCCCTTCACTGCTGCACTTTCTCACCTCCCTGCCTCTCCTCAAACACACCTGGCCTTTGAAGTTACTGCTCCCTCCAGGTAGTCACGTGGCTTGCCTAGAAGGCTCTTACTCCAGATAGTCACGGAGCTTACCCTTGCATCTCACTGGACTCAGCACTTTCTCAGGAAAGCCTTCACTGACGATCCTCTTAAATTACAACCTCCTCCTCATTTCTTATTTAGTATTTCTTCTTAGCTTCTGTCACCACCGGAAATGCTAAGCACCATATGACTCCCACTAGGTAACAAGCTCTACAAGGGACAACAATTTCTGTCTATTTTGTTAACTTCTATATCCCCACTACCTAAAATAGCACCAGGCATGCAAAACCTATTGGTTCTATTAATAATGAAATCAATTTACTCTTCATAAACATATGTTTTTTTCATTTATATGTGAATATTTATTACCTACTATTTATAAATCTATAATTAAAACGTTCTATGTAATAACTAAATTAGCAATTAGTTCAACAGCTAATTACGAACTGGGGCACTCTAGGTACACTGGGGGCATGGGGAACTTTCAGTGGGAAGGCACACTTAGCATACCGAGGAACTTTAGGCCAGCTAAAGATCCTCAATGGACCATTACTGAGCCTGAACAAGGAGGGGTGAGTGGAGGAGATAAAGGTGGGAAAGACTCCGAAAGGAGAGGGGAGTTCCACAAAAAGGACTCTTGCTAACATTTGAGCTTTCAGGACCTGGAAGCCATACAGTGAATGCTGGAATAAAAACAGCAGTACTGATACAGAAGGTTGCCAACTTGAGTGTACCTCAATTCTGCTGTCTCCAGAATCAACACTACCCTTCGCTTGTCTCTTAAATTCAGTCCCATGCCCTGCCACTCAGTGCCTACCCTATTCCTGC